CTCGGCTACTAAAGGCAGAATTAAGAGCCATTGCGTTACTCACTTTGTTCTCGAATACTTCCAATTTCAGCTAAAGTTTGAGGCTACTGAATACTCCGTACACTGAAACTCTCTGGACTCGAAAGCTGGAAGTGACGGTAAGAAGCAAAGCAAGATGCCAATTTTGCCAAAAATAATCTTGGGTTCTTCAGCGCCGTGCTGATTGATTCGAGGAGTAAGTGCACGAACCACTTTGCAGGGTGTCTATGAGTTCGGACGGAAACCCCGGAAGGCTTGTGCTTAGGTCAAGCTTTTTCCATCTGGGAAATCATCTTGGCTGCAGCACTTTCTGGAGCGCGCGATTCATTCGACGGTATTTCGGACGGGCTCATCCCAGCGAGTCAGCCTATCTAAACGCAGACCGAGTCCAACCGCAATTTCCGACTCTACCAAACGACCATTTTATACTTTCTTGATATATTGAACTCTCCACTGCTGTCAACCATGCCTCGCAGTGACCGCAAGCGATCCCGCCTTGTCTCCTGACTTGGCACCGCGAAGTGCCGCACTACCGCGTCCGCCCGCGAATGATCACCCCTCGTGATCCACTCAACAACTACCCGTTTAATCTACCTTTTCACTTGTTACGAGTGCAATCAACCTAGGCAAACCAAACGTCCAAGTTTGCTCCCCCAAACAACCGGGTTGTGGGCAGTGGTAATGTGCACCAGGTCCCGCTACCCGTGTGTAACTTTCGTCAACACGAGACGGGTTGCGTATCCCTCGGATAGGGGTTGAGCTATTTGAGAATGCATCTCCCTCTCCCCACGCATGTATGGAAAGATTCCTTGGCAAGCGCTTTCACGCCTCTCGAAGTCACTCGCTTAACCTGACCGTCTCAACCACTCGTTGAGGAACCACATTCTTTTGATAATACCAGACTATAGTAATAATGCTGTTTCGATCTCTTGGCTTGGCCTCTCTGGCCGCCGTGGCCGCTCAGGCTGCCTCCGACGGCACTACCTGCACCGAAGGAACAGGTGCAGCTCCTCGTTATGTCATGTACTTTGACCAGTAAGTTGATTCAATCACCCGAAATCGAAGACAGCTTTCTAACAGATCCAATTAGATACCACACCGCAGGCATTCCGGACAAGTCCGTAACCTCGGGTGTTACCCACGTAATCACCGCTTTCGCCAACTCGTCCCTTTTTGCTTCCGATCCGGCTGGCGAATACAAGCCGTTTAAGCCTCTGAATGAGGTTCGCGCTCTGTTCAACAACGGAACCAAGGTCTGCATGGCCATCGGGGGTTGGGGCGACACGGATGGATTCGGTCTTGGGGCTGCCACCAACGAGAGCCGTCACAAGTATGCCATCAACGTCGCGGAAACGGCGGTCAAGCTTGGATATGACTGTGTCGGTAAGTCACGCGTGATCTTCCATCATTAATCTGTTGTGAACACCGACTAAATGTGCTCTTAGATGTTGATTGGGAGTATCCCGGTGGCAATGGTGCGGATTACATCCAGAAGCCCAACAGCCAGAAGACTTCGGAGATCAACACTTTCCCTCTGCTCTTGTCTGCAATCAAGACTCAGCTGAAGCACCACAAGATGGAGCTTTCCGTCACCGCCCCGGGTCTGAAGCGCGACATGATTGCGTTCACCAAGCACCAGACTCCCAAGATCAATGCCGCCGTCGACCACTTCACCGTCATGACCTACGATCTCATGAACCGCCGCGACAATATCACCAAGCACCACACTGACATTAAGGGCTCTCTTGAGGCTATCGACACTTACATCGCTCTTGGCGTTGAGCCCGCCAAGATCAACCTTGGCTTTGCTCTCTACGCCAAGTGGTTCACCACCGCCAAGGGCTACAACTGTACCCAGGGTCTCGGCTGCCCCACCGAGCTCATGGAGGCTGCTGATGGCACCGATACGGGCATGTCTGGCGCCGTGACCTTTGAGACCGCCAACTTCCAGGCTGCTCCCACCAACCTGACTACTTCTCCGGATGCTTCCTGCGGTGCCGGAACTTTCTACAAGTGCCCCACTGGCAACTGCTGCTCCCAGTACGGCTTCTGCGGTGCCACTGCTGCTCACTGCGGCAACGGCTGCCAGTCCGACTATGGTATCTGCAACGGCACCTCCACCCTCTCTTCCTTCAAGACTGCCATGACCAACGGCAAGACCGATGAGGTCAGTGGTGGCCAGTGGTACTGGGACCCCGCCGGTCCTTTCTTCTGGACCTGGGATACCCCTGCTCTTGTTACCCGCAAGTTCAATGAGATCGCCAAGGCTCGTGGTCTGGGTGGTGTCGCTGTTTGGAGTTTGGGTGAGGACTCGTACGACTTCAGCCTCCTCAAGGCCATTCAGGCCGGTGTCAAGGCTTGGTTTTAAGAGATGTAGTGTTAGTAGAACATTTAGGCGTGTCCGTCATATATGATTGAAGCCACATCAGCCATCACCTTTTCTCTCGCTTCGTTTTTCTATACCTGCGAGGCTCTCTTATTATGTCGTGATGACCTCGTAATGTGAGTTTTCCACATTTTCAGCGGTGACCGCAATCGAGCACGCATGTTCACCATCTGGTCATCTAGCTGACTGGGGTGATTAGGGTAAGTAAATATGACCGTTTGCGATCTGTTGAGTAGTCGGTGAGTTTGAAGTAATCTTACTTCTACATCTGGCGCTCGTGACTCGCTTGAGTCCTCTCTAAATCATTAGCACCCTCCAGTATTTTTTCGACAAATCAATAGCATTTGATTTGGTTATGACTGTCTATAGACAGTTATGAGGCGTCGGAACCCGCTCTTGCATATGCGTGGAGCCATAAAATCGTGGACGCCCAGGAGAAATGGAATTTGGCTAGAAGGAAGCGCTTAGACGCTAAGAAATTTGCAGGATCTTTGTGGCATATCTCAAGATCCAAGTCTAGATAAATATCAGTGACCAGAAAGCTTCCCGACTTGAATAAAATCAGGTATACTACTCACATAAAGCGCCTCAGATGCTAGCAGGGAGTGCGAGAATGGAAAGGCTCAAGCCGCGTCAATTGCACAAAGATCCTTGACGGAAAACATGGTAATTACCTTGTTGTCTCGAAGACAATAGTGGTAGTCTTACAATGACTCAAAATGATCAATGCTTGACGCGACAACTAAAAATACCAATAGACTAGGCCCATGATTTACGTACAATGTATTTGTCTGCGCGATAGTAGTGCAAGGAAAACCAAGAACAATGTATCAAAGGCACTAAAGGCTTATAGAGATTCGTTGATGCATAAAATGGACTAATGTCTGGATGTAGTATCATATCTGGAGTTCTCTCATACCACATCAACCAACCGCCAAAATTCCTCATCATCAAAGCGCTCAACATACCCAGACTTTCAAGACACCATAAGCTGAGTACTTTTTTTAGACACTGCCATAGTAACACTAAACAAGCAACGAAGCCTAGCACTCCGTTCCAGAAGACAAGCAACATGTCCGCTCAATCGTTGCACGCAGTTTTCCCAGCTCTGAAGGGTCCTGTCAACCTACCCTATGAGATTTTCCTCCTAATAGTAGAGGTGATGATTTCGAAGGCTTACGAGAGGGCTAGACATGAAAAGGTAACCTACATAATTGGTTTCACAGACGGATGGTATCAAAGTGACCCGCAATCCAACGGTTCTGCGGTATTGGGGGACCGTGGAGGCGTCGAGATACAGACGCAGCGATGAAGACAAATCCGCGACCTTCTACGAATTGACAGAACCAGCAGACGTTTGGTAAGACAAGTCTTCGTTCTCAACGACATGGTACGCGTTGCGTGCAACTCAAACGAGTATGATCCTCGAACCATGGAAGAAAGGGTCCGTATGCTGCCGGGGTGTGTGCTTCCGGATGTTGACATGTTTGAGCTAGCGCCGGACACGGACAGCATCTTCAAGGCATCTTTCACTCTTCTTCCTCAACCTGAAGAAGAACAGCTTTATCGACTAGTAAGACGGGTACAGGGGACTTGGTTTGACTACCTACCCACTCAGATTTGGCCGCAAACTCTTAGTCCCGAAACGCTGCGGTGTTTCCCCAACTTGCAGGAAGTTTGGGTCGACATCGAGCAAGTCTTCAAAGGCCTCGACCCGAGAGTCTCGTTCCATGACTCTCACCATGATGACATGGCACTCGACACCCAAATCTTCCCGGAACTGGGTTTGGCAGCATCAGGCCAAGACCTGAAGACTTTGAAGACGCAGTTACGCGTTGCAGAAGAACGAGGGATTCATGTTTACGTAACATCAGGCTCAGAATGGAAACAAAGGTCCCGAGTCAAGAAGGCAAGATTATTCTTGAAGGACGGAGCTGTTCGCTTGCAGTTCCTTGACCCGCAATGCATTCGTTACCTTGAGCTTTCCGAGGAATTGAGAGCTCTTGGGCGTACTCTAGAGCAAGCGATGCAACAGCAGGATTAGTTTTCCACGGGTCTTGGACTGCGGGGTCTACGATAGATTGTCATGGATGAGCGGTTGGGGAGCACGCTTTGCATTTCTATCTCTAGAGGCTGTTTGTATCACTTGCGATAGGTTGCAGCTCACATCAAGTTCTTGACTTACTTTCCCATCATAACGCTGACGGTCGATGCTGCTTCACAATGTCTTTTGGCTACTCCAATTGTGACTAGGATCACAAATCATGTATGAAAAATATTTCACCTCGTCAGAGTGGGTCAAAAATGATACGTAATCATGCCAACTAATTATCAACGTAGACACTTTATTTGGGTGGCGAATGCCTGTAGACTCTCTCTTGATTCCATGCGCAACCATTTGTTTGATTCACTCCAAGTCTCAATAGTAAGAAGGAAGCCCATCCTGTTATTCGACCCGTTTCGCGATGTAGTTCTCCTTGCTATCCCATCTTATGCTTCAAATTTTGATGCCCGCCCCGCCCCCGCCCCCTTTGACATTCGCAATGATCCGTCGGTATCTCGTCTTTCGAGTGCATAAGCCTGCAGGTAAATGCATCTAGGGACGAATGCCGGAACCCTCTCTGAATTCGGCGAGACGACACTGCCGAAGGAGTCGAGTGATATCTTGGCAGATCTCATTGACCCAGCACTCGCAGCAGTCGCAATTCCTGCAGTTGGACTTGACGCGGATGGCGTCCTCGGTGATATCCAGCTCCAGATCAGACTTCCATATGTTTGTGGAGACATGGGCGATGATGGAAATGTTTCTCTTCATGAACTGAGGACCAAACTTCCGAGCAACGTCGCCGTAGTCTTCCTCCCACTGGGCTAGCGATGGAAAGTGGGACCCGTCAATCGTCGTGAACCCTGGGTGGGATTCCGAGAGAGAACATGCACATCTGTCGTCGTCCTCCTTCGGTTGATAATTGCCACCGCTGATGATTATTTTGCGGAGGTTGGGAAGGGAAGCGAGCACGTCGATAAAATCTTCGAAGTTCTCTCGGAAGAACTTGGTATCGTTTCCTTTGATTGCCGTGATGTTCCGGACGATCTCATTGCCCTTGACGGTGGGCAGAATGATCGAGGCGAAGAGGAAATCGATCTCGAGATTTTCCTTGAAAGTGAAGATGTCGGTAGCGAGGCACACTCGACCCACGAACGGGAACCGGGGACGTCGATGCCTGCGTGTGATCATGACCATTCGAGGGAAGTACTTGCTAACCATGCTGCGGCTTCTGCAGTCGATATGCAGGAGGTCGCGAACTCGGTTGATTCGTACATAGTGGTCATCGTCATAGCCAGTCGTGCTTACAACAATCCTGGTCTCACTCCGCCGGTCGTATTCGAGGACGTGTTCCAGCGAATGGGTGTTTTCCAGTTCTTCCCGGACGAGAATCTCGATGACGTTGAGGAAAATCTCGTAAGGGACGCGGATTGGACCGGTCAGGTTTGGAATCTTTGACAGAGACATGATCATGGCGTTCCGCTTGCGTTGTTTCAATGGTCACTTGAATTCGTCTAGCGCCGGTGAGGAAAAGACTGAGAGTCCTTGATGTCGATATGGCGATGGCTGCCGTGCCTTTTCGAAAGCTTGGAATCGTAAGATCAGGGCGACGCGTTTGCCTTCCTGCGAAGGAACAAATCGAGGAACGCGTAAAATACTCGAACGCGATTATGTGGAAGGGAAGAAAATAACCTTTCGGTTGTCAAGGAAATTGAGAGGAAAGAAGAGAAGCCAGTCTCTCCATGGAAGGCTGAAGCGCAAGGCTACGAGGGAGAGGCTCAACTGATTCACCAGCTTGCCGGAGGATGAAGAATTTGGCAGTAGAATAATGAGGTGCCGTCTGGCCAACTATTGGCAGTTTCGAGATCACACGTTCCAACCGTATGGTGTATGGCTGTTGTGATTTCAGTAACAGAACCCTCTTTGTGGCCTGTCATTCAATGTCCCACGGGGTAGTCCGTTCATCTTCAAATAAAGCCTAGAAATCGTGAAATATGGCCAACTTCAAGAATCGGGCATGCTTTTGTAAGGACACGGAGCTCTAAGTCGAAATCGGAATAAAGATGTAACTATAGTAGCCTACAAGTGAGGATGTGTGTCTACTACTTTAATCAAGGCTGTTATAGGTAAGGTATTGTGTCTTCAATTCTGTTCTCTGTTGGGTCTTAGGAATCTTGGGAACTTTGTTTAACTGGATCATCTCATGTCAATTTGATATCTCCATCAAATTTGGATGGGCCGTAACCTATGGAAACCTCCAATGCGTCCTCCCTGGATAAGTCGTACCTAATATGTTTATCCGGTACCACATACATGTTGTCTTATACCTCGTTGATCACGCCTTAGCGGCGTGTAATTCGATTGTTTAGCTTACATTGGTCCAGCTGCTTTTTCAAAATTATCTGATATGGGCGGGCAACATCCTCGAACTGCCCTGAATCGGATGGCCCTGACCGACTCATAAGCTCCAACAGCCTCTTCGGATCATGAGCGAAAGCGATCCCGTCAAGAACACTCGGATCAGCCCCCTTGTCAAGAAGCCACTCCACGTAGTCCCAATCCCCCGTAGCACAAGCCAAAGTCAGCGCAGTCTGCTCCCCTCTTTCTCCTGCCCACTTCGCGTCATCGACACTCACATCATCAAAGCTCAACATGTGCTCGGCCATTTCGCGACGCATGGAGAACGGGCTCACCCACCTTTCAGCGTCCTCACTTTCTTGGCCGACTTTTGACAATAATGACATGTCTCGCACGATTCGCAGCAAGGGCATGAGCTCGGAGACCTTGAGGACAGGATCGCTGTACGTTCTGAGCAACTCAAAAAAACGCGGATTCCAGGTCTCGATCGCAAGACCAAATGTCCATATCCCATGCCGATGGAACGGCACTTCAACTGGAAACCATACATCTGGTTCTTGGTCCTTTAGTGTCGGAATATGATACCACCCGGGTCCAATATTGGGATCAGCGCCGCAAGAAAGAAGGAACTTGGCCAGAGGTTTGTTGCGGACGCATAAAGGATCCTGGAGCGCCCATTTTGGGTAGTTCCCTTCTCTGGGTTCCCAAGCTTGATTCGGGTGCCATCCTGCGTCCATGAAAGTTTGCAGCAGAGGAACCAAGGTATCGTCATCATCTGGAAAGGTTTCGAAAAGAGAAGCGCCAACAGCGGTTCCTCGTGTTTTTGATGCTGCTTCCGTGCCTTCAAAGACGTATCCGTGGAGAGTTGTATCGTTGGCAAGCAAGAACTTGGCGATAGCAGGCTGGTTTCCGAAGGAAGCTTGCTGTAGACCGAATTGGCGAACAGCGTGACTCGAAGACATGTCCTGAATGAAGATTTGAGCCTCTTGCAGGTGGCCCATTCGACAAGCAATGTAGAACTCGAGCTCCATGGGATCATCGGGATTAAGTTTGTCGACATCAATAGCATAATCTGGTCGTGGAAGGCGAGGCGGCAGCGGGGGCAAGTCCGCAAACAGAGCTTCGAATTCTTGAATTTCGTCTAATAACTGGGGGGCATCGGAAACCGGGCGCTGCTTCGATAGACGTTCCTCATTGATGCGTTTGACGTATGCGATATGCCATCTCAGCCGCGCCCGGCGTTGGGAGTTACCTTGCGTTGTAGTATGTCCCATGTTAGACAGTGGCGAATTCAATGTTACCAGTACAACCGTTTGACTTGTTCAGAATGTCCAGCTTGCGGTGTTTTATCACAAAATCAGGCCAGAGTACAACAGGGTGACTGTGTACATGATGGGCTCTGGAATTGTCTTGGAGGATAGGGCGGTTTCTTAGATCCTACATCTATTTCAAGCCTTTTTGGAGCCAACATGGGAGCAGAATGCAGTCAAAGAGCAAGGGATCCAATCAAGGTGACTACCTAGGGGGCAAAAGCAGGCACTACAGTCTTCCCTTGAGATTTTCTTTCAACGCCGACACCTACTTCTTTGTCGTCTTAAGACTCTCCCCCGAATACGTCCTGCCTCCCTGCCATACGTTCTCGTTTCGTTTAATCGATCCTCCGTTATGCTGATGAAATGACTTTTGGCATGCTCTCAGTCTATTCCCGGAAACAATTGAAGTCCCACTTGTCGGTTCATCTTTTCAAACCACAGATGGCTGCTCCAGAGACTCGCGAAAACAAAGTGATCCCTTCAGTGATTAATAGTACGATGTTGGCAAGCCTACGCCAGATTTGTTTGTCCCGGATTCAAAAGGGATGATATGGTGTCACATTGATCAAAGCCCCGAAATACGGGCGACATATTTTCAATCGGGCAATGGTTGTTTCTCTGAGTTGCGACAAGTCCACTGGCGACTTAAACGCACTTCCTCCCCCATTTTGTTCCAGACTACGTCGCTACATTGTCTGCCATTCTCGCCCATCACCAGTCCGCGCTGAATAGTACACCATGCTGTCAAAGTCTAGGTTTGTATTGTTCCTAAGCTCGTTACTGTTGGCCGGTACTCAACTAGGAGTACACGCTGGACCAAACGTTCAAAAATGGGCAGCTTGGACAACCAGCTACAACGGCAAACATTTGGTTCTGGCGGAGTCGCCGCCCCCTCCTGACCCGCCCGGTCCATCTGTCATTCCAATTCTGACGCCATCTCCATCAGTCCCTCAGACATCACCTCCGCCTCAGACCACCAAGAGCGAAATGCCCTTCAACCCATCCGACGTGCCCACAGTATGGCCCTCCTCCACAGCTGCAGCACAAAAGCCAGGAGCAGCCTGCACCGAAGACAACCAATGTAACCTCCTAAACCAGTGCGCTCGCGACCAGACTCCGGCTTGTGACAAGGTTGCCCAGGTCTGCAAGTGTCTAGCCGTGCCTACGCCTGCGCCTAAACCGACATCCACAACAACGAGGCCGACCAAGAACACCGGCAAAGCACCGTACCCTATCGTGACGCAGTGGATCAAGGATATGGAAATCAAGGTCGGCGAGCAGAAATGCAACGGCAGGGCCTCGTTCGACGAGGAGGTCATCAGCGGGATGGATATCTTGATGGACATTAGGAAAATTTGCAAAGCGTTGGACGACAAAAAGCTACGGATATCGCCAGATAGCGAGGAATATAAATCCAACGGGCTGGGCACCAACGGTTCGAAACATCATTTTACAATTTCCTGGATAGAGGGCTGCACCTTCCCGAGCAAGGAGAGGACGAGGTATGGTATGAGGGCCTTTGATCCAAGGGAGACGGGAGAGGAGATTGATGGGATGAATCGTTGCGAGTACATGCTGAATTGGAACTGGAAAGAGTGTGAGTACAGCTCGTCCATCAGCAGCTTCACTTACAAGATTTCTCACCAAGAATGGTATTGTATGCTGATTTTCACGATACAGGCGATAAAACCAACAGTGGCAAAGGAGGTTATCGAGATATAGGCTGCCTGCGATACGCCACGGGACCGGGAGAAGAGGGAACCAAGGGGACCGGCGATGGCATCAAGGAAAAGCTGAAGGAACTGGCTCGAGACCTGGGACCGTGGGAGACGATTTTCTGAAAAACCAAGTATTACTTTTAAGGCGATCCTATGGATGTAGCTATGATAATCTTTACTTCTCGACAACTTCTATAGGGAAAGGCTCAATGGCCCATGTGTCTCCTGACGCGACATCCCAAACGCCGTATATGCTACATTAGATCTTTTCCGAGGACTAAGGGGGGGTATACAGTCCTCGTCGAATTCGTGTTGCAACGAACACATCATATATCAAACATATCCTCCTTGGCGATGGCTTTGCAAGAGGATGATACAACCCTCTCAAGCACTCTTCTCGATATCTCGAGGCTCAGTCTGCTCCTCACTCGCCAACACGCCCGTCGACTTCTCACTGTGACCACCTGCAGCCGCTGCTGCCGCAGCAGCAGCCTCCCTCTCCTTCTTCCTCTCCAGCCGCGCGAGCTGTTTCGCCCGCTTACTCTCATTCTTCTCCTGGTCCTCCCTCATCTGCCGAATAATCGGGCTCTTTGCGCGAATCTTCTCGCCGTACCGCCAAAAGATGATGGGGATCGGGATGAGCGCGAGCTCGAGCAGGCCGCAGAGCGTCCCCGCCCACTGGGGCGACATGGCCTTATACATGGACGTGCCCGCGAGCGGCAGCGTGCCGCCAAACATGCTTCGCATGACGGCGTTGCCGGCCAGCGCGGAGGCGGCGTAGATGCCGTACGCGCCGGCGAGATAGTTGGACCCGTAGATGAAGGAGATTGTGTTGCCCGCGCCAAAGGGGATGCCGAAGGCGATGGGGATGGCCCAGTGGATCGTGGCGGGGAGGCAGGTCCAGGAGAAGACGAGCTGGCCTATGGGGGTGAGGATGGCGCCGATGGTCATCACGCGGGCGGTGGCTTCGGGCGGGACACGGCCGGTGATGGGGTCCTTTGGGTGGGCGTTGATGATGCGGCGGAAGATGGGCTCGCTGATGATGGCGAGGATGGTGCCAATGCCGATGCCGACGAAGGCGAGGCCCGAGACGCCGGGGCCCCAGCCGCGGTATTGGGAGAAGACTATGGGGTAGGCGACGAAGCAGAGGTAGAGGATGCCGTAGATGAGTGAGATCCTGGGCTTTTTGTTAGTATGTGGCCCGTGGTGGTGGGGCGTCACGTAAGAGTCTTACCAGAGGTTGAAGAACCATAGAATGGGCTCTGTGAAACTGAGGACGAAGGGGCGGCTGAGATTCAGCTTGATGAGGTGGACCTTGGAAACCTTCTCGTCGTAGCGGCACCACCAGCGCGGGTCATCCGTCTCTTTGCGGATGCGAGCGGCCTTGCGCTGGAGAATGGTGGGTGCGTAGGTCTCACGCAGGGTGAACATGAGTGCGATGCCAACACCGGCGATGATGAGGACGATCCAGTTGGTCCATCTCCAGCCCAGGTACTGGTACACGAAGCCACCGATGATTGGACCGGTGACTGGACCGTTCAAGGGGGCGATGGAGTAGAAGGACATAGCGAGGGCACGATACTCCTCATCTGAGATGTCCACCACCGTTCCTGGGCTGTTGGCGATCAAGGCAGCTCCGAACAATGCGCTGAGTTAAAATGTTAGATGATCCCAATTACTTGAGATAGTAGAAGGCTTACCCGAAGAAGCGGACGACAATCAGGGTCGTCAGGGACTTTGCAAGAGCGCAGGGAATGATCAGCAGTGATGAGACGGTGAAGCATCCGAGGTAGACATATTGCCGGCCATACAACTCGCTCATCGGGGCAACAATTAGACTGCCGGCAGCCAAGCCAAGAAGGTAAGTAGTAACACCGAGCGTCGCAATAACCCTGGTCGAGTGATACTCCTCAACGAGGCCGGGGATAGACGCCGTGTAACTCGTGCTGTACAGCACCACGATCCAGGTAGAGAGTGAGACGACGAAGATGGTCCAGCCGCGGTACCAGAGGGGCCAGTTCTTTGGGTTCTCGGGGTCGTCGGGCTCAAAGACGACCTCGTAGTCCGGAGGCCGTGATGCGGTGCTGCCGATACTCGTGCCGGTGCGCGTGTACGTGATGGGCTCCCGAGCGACGTGCTCCGCCTCGGTCTCGAGGTCGGGCGTCAGGGCGTGCTCGAGGGGCTCGAGGGGGTCGGTGTCGGTGGACGAGTGGGACGAGGCCCGGCTCCGGTTGTGGTGGCTGTGCCGGGACTCGACCTCCTTGAGCGGGCGGAGTGGCGGCGAGTCTTGGCCGGAGCTGGTCGAGGTCGCGGTCGCCGTGTCGGTGGCGGCCGCGTGGGACCCGGTCCCGAAGTCGTGTATTGCGGGCATGATTCGACTGCTGCCGAGGTCTTCTTTGGTTCAAAGACCAGTGTGGATAGGCGCCTGGCGCGATGTTTGATCTCCCTCCACGCAAAAAAGAACCCGAATGTCCTGGGAATTGCGGCTCTTGGGGAATTGGGACAGGGAAAGTAGATCAAGAAACGGCGCGCCGAGCCTCGGGACAAGAGATTTTTAACCGTACTAGTAGTATCTCTGGCCCAAGGTGTAACAAACTCCCGTCACAGCTAGAGCCAGTCGACAAAGCGGGTATACTATGCCAATGAGTCAACGGGAGATTTGCAAGAGGGGCGGCCCCGAAGAATCCTTCAAGAAACACGGATAGTAGATAGGACCTACAAGAGCGAGGGAGAGACAGAAGAGTTTTACAAACCGACAATTTCTCAAACGTCCCACGCCCAAACACACGCCCCCCGGCAGCGCAACGCCGCCGTCAAAGGGGGCGGCGAGTGGGAAGGGGACCTGGTGCTGGATCCATGGAATGGGTGGTGGGCGGCAACCCGCATCCGATCCACCGGCGCGAAAAGGGTGTAGGTGGGGTGCGCGGTGTGGGTATTCTCAAGGCACGCAATCGGAGCAGGATTGGGAAAGGAAAGAGACAGCCTGACGAGGACTAGAATTGGCCCATTGGGTGGGTGATCGACCTTCAGAGCCCGACGGGGATAACGGCGGAGCTAGGGTCGCATCGCCTCGGGCTAGAGTGGCCGCCGTCTGGGAGCGAAGTGACGAAGAGGGCCGACATTTGGATGTGTCTTGCTCAAGACCTCAAGACTTGGAAGTTTCGTGGTATCGAGACTGAGACACGCAGCATCTCTAGAATTAGAGTCTGGATCTGCTTCTCCCCCGCTTCATGAGAATCCCCAGCTTCTCCTCCGCATTGGAGCCTTGCAGTCGTGGTGCTGTGGAAGCGGAAAACAGTGCCAAATCCCGCGTTTCCTCTTATCAATGGAGCCCATCGTTTTCCGGTGTGAGATGAGACGATGATTTGGGGAGGGGTGGAGTTCAGCCGAGGTCCGCTTCGGTTTGCCCCACTCCCATTGTCCCATAAGAATACATTATACAAGTAAGCACTGCTAAGGCGGGTGAGAACATAAGTCATGTCTCTTTCGCCATTTGCGTATGTACAAGACAACGCCGCTCACGTCTCCGATAGGGTAGACTTGTACAGTATAGTTGATAGATGAAGTCATATCTCATCTTGGCAGCTCCGACAATGATCTTCGCGGCTTCGCCCATAACCTTGTCGAGAGTTTTCCAGAACGTCTGTCGGAATCGAGAATACCACCACGAAGGTTTGCGGATTGGCCAGTTCCGCGTGGCTTCCCAGGGCGGTGGAACCTGTCAGGCAGTGTGTCGCAAAAGTTATTCCCGGCGGAAATCCCTGGACGCTAGATACCGTTCGAGGCTTCGGCGGGGCGCTGACCGCAGAAGCAGTAAAAACAATCATCCCTTGTTTTTGACTTTTTGATGCTCCATACGGATGTATGTAGGAATATCTACTTCGTACAACGAGAGAACTTCCCCTCGAATGACCATTGGTAGACGGTGTACGCTGTGCGACTTGGGCTGAGTGTTGGAGTGGCTGTCCTTCGTAGTGATGGTTCTGTCGCACAACGTGCGTCTCAGACAATGCGGCATTGTCACCGGACTAAGAACCTGAGGTGTAGCAATGCTGGTCTGTATGAAGTCTGAGGTGAGACGCAAAAGGATGAACCTGGAAGATGAGAAAAGTCTGAAAGATAAGCCCAAGTCGGTCGGTATCCGTACCCATGGTCAGAGCTTTTGGTCAGGGTTCCCAATCCGGTTTTGGCGTGAGGTCGGCGGATCTCGGCGAAAGCGGGGCTTCGGACGTCTGAGGTCCGCTTTCGGCTCCGATCTCCGGAGATGCAACAACGTTCCCTCTTGCTCCTTCCGACTTGTGTGAGTGTTTCATACTGGCCTTAGATAAGGTACCTATCAATTAATAGACTACAGATATCCCATGTGACTGAGATGGCTATACAGAGCTGTTCACTCTCTTTCGAATCAGCACCTGCATCTCGGTTGTTGTCTGTGGAATTACGGTTGAGAAAATGGATGCAATTTTTCTTGCTTTCAGTGGGTCGTATTGACTGACCAAAATGCTTAATTGAGATCCAAAGGGATAGAGCATGTAGTCGGATACTAACAAAATTTACATGCAACTTGCGTCTTCAGCGACGGAACCAGTTGAAGATTAGACATGTCGTCGAAATATGGAGGGGCTCGAGTCAATCTGACTTCGCAGTTGCAGCTTGTCAAGAAACCGTTGTTCAGACGACAAATACACGGACCAGCCTGCAGCCGCCACTGAAGAGTGCAGGACTATTCCATTTTATACAATGATTCCATTCAAAATGACTCAAGGTACGTGATATGTCGTTCCGTCAAAATCTGCAAGTGCGAAGAGTGGTAAAGTGACGTCACGTGATGAGCTAGTAGATGTTGGATGATCGATGATGCTACGTTTCCAGAACAATCAATCAATCCAACATAGTCCAAGTAATTTTTTGAGTCGCCGACTTCTAGACCATGCTTCTCAGCCGATTTTACTGAGGCGTCAGTCAATCTCAGACTTGGGCAAGGGCTCGCGACTTGACTTAAGCCTAGACATGCTCTAGCAGGTTCAACTCGAGGTCGCCCAACGACCAAAGAAAGACTAGAAGTCGGTACCAAAAAGAGTTCACCCCCCCGGTGCTGAACTGGGGGCTACATCTCTTGGTGCTCATGCTGGGGATCGAACCTTAGCCCTGGTGAAGACGAGTCTGCCGCCGAGAAGGCTCGCCCCTAACCATCCCGCCAAACGGGACTTTGACCTGACCTCACAAGCCTGTGAGGCGCCTGCCACCGTTGGTGACAGGAATGGAAGTGAGGGGTCTTATATGGCCTTTTCACAGCAATATCTGGAAGGTGCGGCTATCACAGTTGAGATAGAGGCTTCCTTCCAACTTCGTGCTGGATGTTGCATGGCCCCACATTGACGAGTTCCAGCCAATAGTCTGAGCTATCGGCGCCTACCTCAAAACGAAGCAACTTCATCGACAATGACAGTGACAGGGGTTCATGCAAGGTCTCAGCCGCCGTGGCTGTGCAGCGTAAGCAGGCAACGACATTCAGCGCGAAATCCACACAAAAGTGAGGCGTTCCCTTGATACGCGCCAAGCGCATCTCATTTCTTACTCTCTCTCATCATTGAGTGCGAAATCGTTGCATCTTTGATTTATGCGCGCCTCATTCAGCATCGCGAAATCCTGAAAGGATGGAACCCGACTACACGGACCCAAGCCACGAATGGTGGGCCCGGCCATCGGACGGCTGCTTGGTTCCACTCGTGCTTCAGTGCGGCCAAGAGCCGGACGTTCTGCCCGAGACATCGAGATGGTCGCGCCTGGGAAAGTTACCATCCCGAGTCTCGCCAGTTTTGCGCGTCTCCTACTGGGCCGGGTCATCTTTATTTGTTCCTGGGACAAGGAAGTACAATGTTAGCTTTTACGCACTGGCGGTGACAGCGCTGAAGCTCCTCATGGCATGGCCGGTGCTTTGTATGCTGGTATGAGACACATCCTTGCTCTAACAGGCTGATCAGAACAGAGCTGATCATGATATCAAGGTCTGCTGGGCCGGGAATCTTGGGACAACTGTACAACAGCTTGTCGATGCTCGCAACAAAAAGGACTCACGCTACGATGACGTATGCGTTCTCTCAAGGGAGGAAAGCAGCCAGAAGAGATCGTTTCCAAATCGACATCCGGTAGAGCAAGATGCCATTCTTCCTGGTCCCCTGCAAGAAGCAAGGCCTCCAGCATCAGAGCAGCAATACACCGATAACATCAGGTTGAGCGGATCTCTGCCGCCTTCCGGGTTACGTGTTGACAGCTCGTCAACTTCTCTTCGTCCACGATACCTATGCTTCGTTAGGGACTTTGAACAAGGCATATACGAGACGGTCAAGGTCTCCGACTACCTCGCGCAGCATGGAGACGATGTAGACCTCGAGTTCGTCTTCGTCTCATACACCAGGCTCCAGTTCAGGGTAGCTACTGAGGAGGAACTCAACAAGCACGACTACCCAGACGAGGCTACCAGGAACGCTAACAAAGAAGTTGCACGACAGGATCGAGAGATCTTGGCCAAATGGGGCATGGATGCCGCAAAAGGGGTGGGGAAAAGGGCATTCTGGCTCGACTTCGAGTGTGTTAGGAACGACGACGGCATCGCACGATCGACGAGCAGCAGTCAGGACGTCTATCGAATTTGCGACATTGTTCGTGCGGCACATTCCATGATCATCGCCATCGGACCATCCGCCAACGACAAGGTCGCCTCAATCCTTGCTAGCACTGAGCCTCCTGAGTACAAGCGTGAGAACGTCACTCCGTGGCTACGGCAGTGGGGATCTCGCCTGTGGACGCTGCCGGAACTTCTGCTTTGCCCGGCGGAATATCGCATACGACTCTATGTCCTCGGGGACCAAGCGGAACCCAAGGAATTGGCGAAACGCAACTTTGCTGAGCGGGCATGGGACGACGCGGAGGCTGTGAAGGAACTCGTGGACCACTTCGAAGGATCCGCAATCCTTACCGACCTTCGGCTCATCGAAGCTGCTCTCGCTTGTTTCTCGAGGCGTCAGACGGATCAATTCAACAAGGGAGACATTGCATATGCAACAATGGGTCTGTTCCCCAACCGCCATCGACCTCCGGTGAACAAAGACGACTCCGGGTTCCAGGCCTTTGCCAAGCTCTCCATCGCCAATGATAGTGGAGCCTTCCTCAGCAGGTTGATATCCCTCTCCCAGCCAGACGGAGCCCCATGGCACCGGGTAGAAGATACCTGGGGTGCTAGGCTCAGCGAGATCTTTCCAAGCGTCAGTATAACCGGCGTGGTCGGCGCCGATACAGTCATGCTAGATAAGGTTCACGGTGCGACGATTCATTGGGACAACCTCGAGCCAGAGCCTTATTTCGACAGGAGCTTCGGGATGCGTTATGTCGTTTTCGTCGGCTTCACGTATTTTGCATGCTTCTCCGTCCCTATGGCATTCTCTTTCTTCACTGGCATTGCTAGCATCGTGCTCTCAGACTTTATGCGATTGTCGATCTGGCAGGTCTACATGTGGCTCCTTCCTCTTGCCATAGTCTTCGCTCTTTTGTTCCCAATAGTGTTAATCTCAACACGAGGCAGAGTCAAACAGCCTGCCAAGTCCCGACTCATCGGCATAGAGGGCATTGTGGACTCTGCGAGCATTGAAAAGCATCTATGGGGGTTCAATCATGGCAATCTCACAACCACGACCTCGGAACACTACAGCGATGAAGATGATCGACGAGAACCCCCAACATCCATACAGCCCTCCGGGCCGCCTGCCGGGAGCGGCACTTTCGCTTTCACTTTGGTGGATACGTACTTGATGACGGTCACGCACTTCCACTGCCGTCTTCCTCCAGTTGCCATACTCGAATGTGGCTCTGAAGGCGGTCTGCAACGAACTCTCCTCTGCTCTTACGACGCTCGAACAAACACATTCCACAGGCAAGCTGTCTTGAGAGTGAACCGTCGAGGGGTCGAGCAGCTGCATCGTATCGATAGGATCCGGCTGTCTTTGGCACCTCACCCCCAACCCAAGGAGCAGACACAGGACACTATACATGATGCGTCGTCATCCTCTTCCTCCAATAACGATATGGTACCAGTGCAAGGGCAGAATAACATAGCCAAGACCTCGACTTTTATCACTACTTCTCACACATGGAGAGTAGAGTTTCTTTTCTTCGCACTATGTCTTGTAAGTCCATATGCCTCAGGCCAATCAGCAGATGAACAGCCTCTTACTGATAGCAGGCCGGACTGAGCACTCTCGGTCCATCTAATTCCGCCAAGCCATCCGCAATCTTCATCTTTCATACTTGGTCCCTCGTGGGGCAACTGCCAGGCTTCATTTTGCTGCAGTATTTGCCGCTCAACCAAGTCGCCATCTGCACTTTCGCAGCGAACAGTACTCAGAAATTCCCATAGCCCTCCTCCTCAAGCCAGAGACTAATGATTGAACAGTACTAGTCAGCGTTGTGAGAGGCGGTGTATTATTCCACCATATCGCCGTATTGCTCTCCAGGGTCCACGCCGTCTTGAGAAGCTGTCTCGCGTTGACGCTCGTCAAGTACATGATAACATGGTACCCCATCAAGGAGTTGCCACTGCGCTTCCTCTTTTGGAACGTTGCCTTCGCAGGGCTTGTTAGCTCGCTTGGGTTATTGCCAGAAATCACCTTCAATAAAATTTCTTTGACAGTCGACATCGGCGGTATCATCTTCTTCACCAATATTAGTCTGCTGTACTACGCCATACAGGTCGGCTTCTCAAATCTTATCGGAGGGCCAAAGGATATAACCTGGCTTCTTCCGCATCAGAAACTCTACTACTCACAGCGTGCCGCTTCTGAGTCGTTCTACGCCAAAGCAGCGGGGGCTGTTTGGTGGAAGCACCAGGTCCGTCCTGAAATCTTCCTCTTCCACGGCATTCATATTCTAATGTCTTTGATAGCAATCGATCTCCAACGCTTTACAGTCATTTCTGGTCTTTTTCATCGCCTTGGCGATGTCTCTGACCTCTGGGGGTGTCATCCACGAAGACCCTGTCAGCGGAGCGGGTGCTGTTGTCATGACCATTCTCGCTGGTCTCTTGATTTACAAATTTCCACCGTCGCTCTGTAAGTCATTCACTTTCTCTAATGGCTTTTTCTGTGTCTTTTGATATCTCTTTCCTCGGGCTGTCTCCGAATGCCCCTCAACGTAAATAATACAGTGCTTGGATGAGGCTATGATCATGATTCATTCGAGAAAATGTAGTGAAAATTGCTGCTTGCTGACTTCTTCAACTAGACGCTGTTATGGTTTCAGTCGCGATTACATCAGGTGTCTTGAGCGTCCTAAGCGTTTCTGGCTTCAGCGTTCTCGAAGCTGTTCCTTTCCAATTTCTGGGGCGAATTAATGAAGCGGCGCTGCCCTGTAAGCCAAACCCCCGAAAGACTATTCAAACATTCAGCTGACACTCTAGGAAGTTCTTTGGGCTTTCATGGTCCGCCAATCGACATCGTGGTCAGGAGCGCTGGGATCAGTGTCCTTGTCTTGGATGGGCTGGGCACTCGGCCAGATAATCATGGACTACACGGACAGTATCTCGACCTTTGCTGCTCAGCTACCTCTTCTCATTGGACAGATCATCTTGTGGGCTCTGCTGTGGGTTGCATGTGAGCGTGAGAGCAAGTTCAAGTTGCCTGAGCATTCACAAGACATCCTTGCGGCATCGGATAGAGATATTGAAGACCAAGACAGCGAGTGGGGAGAGGATAGTCAATAGACAGTTGACATCAATATATGGAGAAGATTCCTTCGTAGCTTGTTCATCATTGACCATGTCCTCTGTGCCCTCGTGGCCCGCGATCCCCCACGGGCATTCCAGGTTTTGAATTTGACTTCTCCCTAATGATGAGGAGGGCCGGTTTGTCATGAAATAAGGGAAAGATGCTCCGGATAGTCTGCGTTGGTAGCCGAAAGCCACGAGAGTTAGGATGAGACTGTTTTCGAGCTCTATTTCGGCCGTCTTTGGGTAAATCGTAGTCAGCGACCTAACAGCAATCGGAAAAGCCACAAAACTCAGCCGATGGGATGAGACCGGCTGTCTGCCTCCTAAATGTCTCACAACGCCACACGTGAAAAGACGGATTTTCGAAAACATGAGAGACGCTCCCCTGCATTTTATTCGACGATGGACGATTGGGATCCAGGCCATCGCGGGGTGCGAGCTAGATAAGCGTCGGGCCGGACCTTTCTGATGAACCGGAAGCCCAAAGCATTTGCCACTTTCCGCATAACTTGATGCCATTGATTGACTCTTGGCTACATGATCGTGACTAGGTACTTCGCCATCAACTTCGTGTTCCCTTTTCTAAGAGAGTGTTTTCTTAGGAAGCCTGATGTGCCGCTTCGACAGACAAGTTGGAGAGGATTCATAGGTAGCAGGTACCCACAAGACGCCTACTCTCCTGCGGAGCTCAAACGCGTCCACCTTTTGATGCCAAAAGATTCCCCGCACATGATCTAGACGTTGGCGTCCACTGCCGGCTCTCCTCGTGGGCGCTTGTTTCACATGAAGACAACCCTATTGCCGGTTTCGTCGTCACATCCGCTCCCGCCCCCCAATGTGGATTCAAGACACGGCTGATGTTGACTTTCTGATTTCGCATGTTTTCAATGCGGCTGAAGAGCAGGGAACTACGCGAAAACGAATGCTTTGAGAAATGAAGACGGTCTTTGGGTATCGCATTCTCCTGTGACCGGAAAGTTGAGCATATCTCAAAGGATGAGGACGCATATAAAGTCCCGGCAGGATATCCGACTGCTTGGTACCCATCGCTTGATAGTCTGTCATCGACAGTTCTGAATTGACAGGCTTACTGCTTGCTATCATAGCCACGATACATAGCTGCTCAGCCATCCTGCCAGCCCAAACATGACTTCCACATCGAAAGCGTGGGACCACTCGGTCGACGAACGTATCGGACACATTGCCAAGGGCCTCCACAACAACCCCAAATTCAGCAAAAAGGAAGTCCCAGGCCTGCAAGCCCTTCTAGATGACTACGTCAACAAAGACATAGACGTCGACTACGTCCAGTTTCTCCGCAGACTCCTCCAGGTCTTCAAGGACTCGGAAACCGATGGCGCATTTTCCAACATTCTCCACAAGCATACTGATGACGAGCAAAAGTCTATCAAGAGATTTCTCGCCGGCGACGATCCCAAGAAGATTGGCGATGGTTTCCAGATGGGTCCCAGTCTGGGGTGTCGGGAGGAGCTGGCGAGGTTGCACGAGGCGGACTGCGTTATCCAGGTTGGTGCGCGGGGTATCAAGAAGCTCAAAGAGCCTATCCATAAGCTTGCTGTTAAGGAGAGGGCGCTTCTTCAAAACACGTTGACCAAGATGGAGGACTTCATCGAGGGTAACAAGGATGAGCTCCGAGGGACTGGTATCGTAGTAAGTTTTCGTTCGAATGATTTTTATCTCGACAAACGAATTGCTTAACCAGTCGCCAGGTATACTACAAGACGGAGTTCCAGAACTGGGGTCTCACTGTGAAGAACGTTCCAGCTCTCACATGTGTGCCAAAGACATCTCAAGAGGTCCAGCTCATCGTCAAGTATGCAAAGGCCCACAACATGGGCGTGCGATGCTCAGGTTTCCGTAAGTTTCAGCATGCCGCTGCCTTCTCCTTCAATATCTGATTCCTTTCGGCAGGTCACTCGTGGTCCCCGGTCTTCGCAGAGAACGGATACGTTCTCATTTCCCTCCTCGGCCTTCACGAGGTCACCAAGCTGCCCAACATCACGGCTCTCCCCTTCCCAGAGTCCGCCGCAAACGACCTCCAGACAATCAGCATGGTCTCCGAAAAGCCCCTCGAGAACGGCAACTACCTCGTCAGAGTCGGCACCGCTTGCACAAACGAGAGACTCCGCCGCTGGTGCATCGACAACAAGACCGTCACGATGCCCATGAACGTCATCATGGTGGAAATCACGCTGGGCGGCTCCAATGCCCCAATCTGTCACGGCGCCGGCCGTCGCCACCAGACCCTCAGCGATCTCGTCCGTCGCATCGAGTACGTCGACTGCCACGGAGAGCCGCAGGAAGTCACCAAGCCCGAGCACCTCCGAGCCGCGAGCGGCTGCTTCGGTTTGATGGGCGTCGTCACGCACATCACGCTTGAGATGTCGCCCATGACCTACGCCCGCCTGAAGCCCGAAAAGGTCTCCGTCGCGCTGGCCGTGCCTCCGCCCGCGGACCTCGACCTCTCCAAGCTCCCCGCTACACTCGCCGACCCCTGGCGCAAGCTGACTGAGGGGGAGAGGCGGGGATACCAGGAGATCTTTGAGGACCGCGCGACCAACGACTTTTACTCGGAGTGGTTCTGGTTCCCGTACTCGGACAAAGTCTGGGTCAACTGCTGGAACGACACAACCAACAGCGCCGGCGTCGTAAACTTCCCCGACGACGCCCACATCTTTCTCTCCTTCGTGCAGACTTTCACGATGAATGTGCTCCAAAACACCACGCTCCTCGACAAGCTCATCGACCAAGTCTGCTTCACCGAGGCGGCCGTCACCCTCATCTCCCGCTTCGCCATGCTGGCTCTCCCGGACAAGGAGGTCACCACCTACGTCCCCGACGCGCTGCACTTCCAGCGGGCTATCCAGAACGTCCGCGTGCGCGACATGGAGGTCGAAATCCCGCTCGTGGCCAAGGGTGGCAAGACGTTTGGGCCTGATGAGCCTGTGGAGATTGACTATGCCCCTATTCAGCGGGCGTGGTGGGATGCGATTCTTACTGCGTATACGAAAGAGAATCGGGAAAAGTGTCCCATGCGCATGCCGTTGGAAATGAGGATTATGGGAGGGAGTAATGTCGTGATGGCACCTCAGCGCGGTAACGAGTTGGGCACCTGTTCAATTGAGGTTCTTACCCTCCACGCGGCCTCGGATATCTGGGTGCCGTTCGCTCAGCAGGTTCTCGACAAATGGATGGCGCTCAAGGACCCTAATACCCAGAAGCTGTTGAAGACGCGGCCTCACTGGGCCAAGGAATGGAAGGAGTTCAGCGTCAACGGCAGGCCGTGGCTCGAGAAGATGAAGAACGAGGACTACAAGGCTGAGATTCAAGAGTTCCTCGGCGTCATGGCGGATATTGGAAAGGAGGCTGGGTGGACTCTAGAGGATCTGAAGACTCGGTTCTCGAACAAGTTGTTCGATGATATCTTCTTCAGTAGCCCCCCGCAGAAGAAGGCGACCGTCACAAATGTGCTTCAAAGTCGAAGTGTGAACAAGCTGCCGCAGATTCGGGCAACTACAAAGGAGATCAATCTTGAGTCTGGAGAGGACTTGGTTTCTTTGTAGCTGGGAAGACATAAGTTACACAAAAAGGGTGTTAAAAGCGAGAATCTAAATAGAAAATCGTTGACTCGTTCATCTTGCCAAGTACATTGATGCTGCTCGTCTGTCTTTGTCGATTGCTGCTACCCCAATGTACTACATCTTGATGACATCTTCCTTCCAGTTTTCTTAGATCCTTACCATAAATCTTCCTTCCAAATCTCCTTTCCAGATCTTCTTTCCAGTCTTCTTTCAGCCTCCTTTCCGAAATCTCTCTCTCATTTGGTCACTTATGGCAGTTGCTTCTAACATACCAAGAACTCACTTCCTCGCCACAATGGATGTTCTGGCACAGTTCATTTCCATCTCCCTTCAGAGCATGTCATGCCGCAATCTGAGTCTCGAAGTGCTCGACACTGATCCCGGATCAAAGGAGCACTATGGAAAATATAGTAAGAGAGGTGAATCGGGATTAAGGCTGTAGATATTAAGTTTAACTGCCGGCTGCCGCATCGATTGACAACAAACATACCACTTCCGCTTCAACTCCCACCGCTCCTTCGGCTATCTGCACGTCTGCATAGATTTACGGCTGCCGTTTGCAAGTATTGGAAGAATGGTTTTGGCCCGGCTTCCTTCCCACACATCTCTCTGTTCTTTTTATTACCTCCATCTCCTGTTTCGCTTCTTCTTCTTCTCCTTCCATATACACACATTCCACTGAGGCGCAGGAAAAATCCCCAATCCATTCTGAGATTTCCAGCCATCACGATGAGTGCCTCGACATCCACTCCTGACGCCAAGATGGCATCGTCCATGGATATGTCATCCCTCGGCAAGGCTCTTCCAGTCGTCAAGGGCCCGAAAGACTCCAAGCACAAGGTCTTCGAGCTCGTCTTCGACCACCTCCTCAAGCAGGCTGAGCAGAAGACCGACTCAATCCTCTATTGGACTTCCCGCGACCCCACGCCTGACGCCAAGTCTCGCCTGACGGTTTTCGACCAGGTCGACTACGCCGCGCTCGGCAACCGCGCCCCCCAGCGCAAGCGCTTCCGCATCGTCGGCATTCTCAACCAGATCGACCGCCGCTCCCGCATCAAGTTCAAGCTCGTCTTCCGCCCCTGGGAGATGATCTACGTCGAAGGAGCCGAACCCGGCTTCGTGCGTGTCGGCTGGATTTGTCCCACCAGAGACCACTTCCTCATCTTCGTGGGCGAGCGCGAGAGCATCCCGTACCTTTATGCCGCTCTCATGAGACCTCGCCCTGCCAACTGCCTCATCACCCACTCCATTCAGAGCGTTCGCATCTTCATCACCGAGTTGTACCGCTACGCCTATGGCAAGGACTTTGAGGCCATTCTTCAGCTGCCCAATCTCAAGCAAGTCGCCATCGACGTTGGCGTCATCCGCATCCTCAACACTCCCAAGAGAAAGCGCCACCACCACAACACGGAACTTCCCCTCGACAGCAGGCTGTTCCCGTCCCTTATCGAGTGGGAGCGCAAGTACCGTCAGGAGATGAAGCCCGTCTGGGCCAAGCTGGAGCAGAAGGACATCAAGCTCGTGTGCTACGCGCCTGGTGCCGGCGACGTGGAGCTTCTCGAGCTCATTCACAAGAACGATGGCAGCGTCCGCATGAGATTCCTCGACCCCGTCTGCCATTGCTATGATAATCAGCGTCACCCGGTCGTTCTTGCTATGAAGGCTGACAACGGTGGTCAGCTGAACATGCTCAGTCGCGAGGATCTGGCTCGCGGAGGCGAATTTCGCAGTGTTTAGGGTAGTGGCTGCGATGGTTATGTTTGTCACTGATGAAGAGAGATGGACACAAGCTTTTCTGCCTACTTGTTGGGTACTTACGATATCCAGAGTGTCATGGCCCTGGCTCGCGTTTGATGGAACACAATGGGTATCATTCAGCTCATAGGTATGAAGAGATAACAAATGGGAGGCTCGGACATCAGATAGCTAGTCGTTCGTAAGAATCACAATACTCATTCATCAACTTCGTGAAGTCCTCAGTTCACTGCATTGGGGAGATCACCACGAGGTATAGCTACATCCGTCAGATCAAAACACGCATCATTCCATTCTGAAAGGTGTCACAATCCACATTTAGCCCAAATAAAAGACGGTAAGACTAGGTACAAATTTCCAGATGCCTCCTATCACGGCCTTGATTAGCGACGCATATATAGTACAAGGGGTCTCATGATACACTTTCAGAAAGTTCAGAGGGTAAGATTCATATTGTACTTATGATGGTGATAGTCTTCGGCTTATAATCCATCTGAAGTTTTGAGGTGAAGCTATCGTCACACGATGTCAACAGTCCGAAGGGCTTTCAGAAAAGACTGCTTGTTATTCGATTTACCTTGCTTGCCTTGCAGGTGGCATCATATCTCAGGTATAAACAGCCTGGCTCCTATGGCCTCACTACTTCTTAGTGTGTTTGTCGTCTCGCCCAGCCACTGTCGTCCTTCTACGCCCCGGAGGTCTCCTCTCGATAACATTGAATCACATACACAATTTCCCTGCTCCTTCCTTTTTGTTCTGAGTGAGATACACCTTCCTCTTCGCAATTTGAAAATTCCCTACTACTGTGGTATAAAACACTCACTTTCTTATCCATTTCTTCCCACTCTCCCACTCTCATACTTTTACCACCGCGACCATACCCATTACCACAGCAACAACAACATCGCGATATTATTACACCTCACCACCACTAGTCACGACTATCACCACCACCATGGCAGACCCTTCTCCATCCCCTGTTGTCGCAGCGGTGAATAAGCGGCCTCAGATGAAGACCAGTGTGCCATACGAGGTCTTTCTCCATGTTGTTGAACAGCTTATCGGTACAGCAAAGGACCCCTACGATGTCAAGGTCTGGTCTCTCGCCTACAATCACAGCCTGGCCACCAAGCTGGTGCTCAACGATGTCAACATCTTAGAGGCCAAGCCACAGACCACTACTCACAAGCGCCACCAGAAGCTTTGCCTTGTCTCGCAGATCAACCAGCAGTCCCGACGCATGACCGAGAAGACCTTCACTAGACTCCCATTGATGGTCGCCAGTCCCGACGGTCTCACTCGCCTCCTTTGCCCAGTCAAGGCATACGTCCCTCTGACAGACGAGTTTGTCCCTTTCTTCACATCTCTGCAAGAAGGCCGCGAGGCCGAACAGTTCATCTACGACCAAGCGGTGCTCCTGCCCTCTTCTTCCGGCTACGCCCTACTCTCTCGCGTCGAGAAGATCTTCCTTCTGCGCTTGCGCTACCTCATCACTGCAAACGAGGAGTCTCTTTCAACCCTGGTCAGACTCCCGAACCTCAAGTCAATCACCTTCAATGTTGGAAGATTCACCAGCAAACTTCGCAGCAGCATGAAGCCAGGTCTCCATGAGGTCGACCCGAAGAAGTTTCCGCGCCTTGCACAATTCTGCACTCAGGACTCTGAAGCACTCAGAATTCTATGGGCCGACCATCTTGAAGCAAGAGGAGTCAAGCTCTTTGGTGTCATCGACAACGACCAGCTCCCCATCATCGAGTTACACCCGAGTCGTGACAAGATCATGATCACATACATTCTGCCTTACGCTGACGAAGCCGTCGAAGAGTTGACAGAGCGCATGAAGCATGTCATGGACCTCATGATAATCTGACTTAGACGTGGGGATCACGAATGGTACAAATGGAAGGATTCACACTCGTCTCCTGGAAGGAGGATAGATACCCAGCCTTTGTGGTTATGGAAGGACTGGTGTGGCAGTTGGGGTAGCTCTCGCCCCAAGAATCAGTCCATCATAGGAGGACGTACTGGGACTTCAGGTTGTTCAACACGCTGGCTCATCAGAAGTCGTAATTAGGAATCACCAAACTCTTTGTCCCATGCACAGTTCATCAAAGATGATTCGTTTTCTTTTGCGCATGTTCACCATGTGTATATGTTGTTGTCTCCAGTTCAGGGCCTTTCATGAAGCCTCATCTTTTCTGAGACTAATATGATAGGTCGTTGATCCGTATTGTGGTCGGCCAATCCGCCAGAGGCCTGATTCTGCGCCTCAAGTCAAGGGTGAGTATGCAGGCAGACAAACAAACAGAGCCCAATATGACGACTAAGCGGCTACTCACATGAAACCGAATCTTCTCAAAATCATAATCTTTCTATCTCGACTCGTCCCTTCTTTTCTTTTCCATCCTCTTCCAGCATTGAGGTCGGAGTGTCGAGAAGGATTCGACAAAACACCGCCAGTTCCTCAATTCTGGCGGTCGGAAAGTACGTAGACGACTCGCCGCACTCCCTGCAATTTTCCATTTTCTGATATTACTCATCTAGCTACAATGACGTCTAAGACCGTTCCTTCATCTTCGCCAGGAGGCTTGTCAAACACCGAAGGAGATCGCGGTCGAATTCGCCTCGTAGACCGAACCGTCCTCTCGACAGTCTCCTTCGCCGGCATGCCGCGTTCCACTACCCGCCGAGGCAAAGTCAGTCCCACAGACTTGCCTCGCGAGATATTTTTCAGCATCATCGATGCTTACCTCGAGAACGCTCTCGCCGACAACCGCTCAGTCCTCTGGCTCATCGACTACCACCACGACGTCCCGACCAAGCTCGTCCTCCGCATCAGAGGCCATAACGTCGGCTCTGAGACGGTTGAGATGAGCGAACTTGACCGTTTCCAGAGCATTCGTCTTCCCCTCCAAATTGACAAGAAGACGCGCTCCATGGTCCACCGCCACTTCCGCCGCATGCCCGTCAAGAAGGATCACTTCTACAACTCGCCCCTCTCCGCCGTCGACGCCTGGGTCCGCCCTGACGTCGACCTCTTCACACCCGACTTCAACGACACCGAAGGCGTCCGCCCTTCGCGCGAGATGAGCTTCTCGGCGGCCATTCAGCTACCCACTCCCCTGGGCCACGACCTCCTAAGCGGGGTCCAGCACGTCTTCCTCCCAACCCTTCGTTTCTTCCAGAAGAACAACAAGGTCGCCGTGGCCGCGATCTCGACGCTCCCGAGCCTCAAGACGGTCTCCATTATCGCCGGTTATTCTGTGCCCATGTACGATGACCCCGAGCTCCTAGCGATTCACCCGGGCTGGATGAAGGTCGAGGGTCACCGGTACCCGGATATGAAAATTTGGGAGGAGAGACACGGTCGTGCCTTCCGCAAGCTGTGGCGTCCGTTTAAGCGACGTGAGATTGAGCTTTTTGCGTTCAGGGATGATATCAAGCCGGCTGTCATGGAGATGAAGATTACCAAGGACGGGATCCGCGTGAAGCATCTTTTTCCCGACTGCTCCTGCTGCCCAGCCGACACTGAGTACAATGACAAGGAGGGTTGAATTTTGAGAATAATCTTTGTACTTGTGCAAGGTGTTGAGGCACGAAGGCTGCGGGGACTTGGGGGTTGACGCGCCTCGGGCGAGGTCGGCTTTCGTCGTGGCCGTGGTTAGACCCTCAGTTCAGGTCAGAATCAAACCTAAGAAGTAGGTCGTTGACAAAACAAGTTACCTAACGATTCGGCGCTCACAGTCTTCCGCTCCTCTGTTCATGCCTTAACTCTAGATTTATCTCGAACATTTTGTGCACGAGATAACGCATGGTCGGTGATGCTATGAGGACAATAGTCATGATACACCAACTAATTGTCTTGTAACTCAAATGGGTAGGTGGCTGGGGCTCTCTTATCATTTATGTCCGCCGGTATTCTAGGGTCCCTCCCTCCTGTCGTCTCTGGCACCAGTCTGTGGTCCCTTTCTAAGGTTTGCGGCTGCGCAGGTCCAAAGTCAAGCATCGTTTCTTTAAGGCAGCAGATATTACCCTTCAGGTCCTTGTGATATGTCAAGGAAGATAATGTCCAAAAGGGTTGTAATCTTTGTGGCGAAAGGGTGTATTCCTCGTTCTGGAAAAAAATGACCTTTCTCTCCCTTTCCATCTCTCCCTTTCCATCTCTCCCTTCTCCCAAAATCACTTCTAGCTTCTAACTCACGCTCATTTGATTCTCTTCTCTCTTGCCCTTGCAAGACAATCTATATCACCCAACGATGTCTCCTCGTCAACTTCGGCCGGAACTCCCAGGTTGTGCCGGCCCTGCCTCTATCCCCACCGAGATATTTTTTGCCATCATTCAGGCCTTCCTCACAGATGCGAAAATTTCTGCCCGGGCCATTGAGTGGCGGTTAGAGTATGCAGAAGACGCTCCGTCGAACTTCCGCCTCGCTCTCACTGGCGACCTGGGTTACCCTGGACCGCTCAGCATCCATCGATTCCAACACATTTCTCTTCCTTTACAGATCAACAAGAAATGCAGAGAGCTCACTAGTAGGGTCTTCATACCTATTCCCTCGCAGCATTTTTATTTTCCGGGAACTGGCCCTGACATCTTCGTCCTACCTTACGTTGATCTATTTCGGGTAGCCAAAGTGAGAAGTTACATTCATTATACTGGAAGCCCCCTCGATTCATTGATATATCTCCCGACTCTCAAGGCCTACACTTTCATGCAACATATTCGGCGATTCCATATCCTAGAATTCAACATGATAACTGTCGAAGTTATCGAGAATCTGCCGCAACTAAAAGAAGTCATCTTTAACGGGAAAACCCTTATTGACACCATCGAGATGAGTGACACCAAATGCCTTCTCGGTATGATTCCTCTGGATGCCGATAACTTCCCCGACTGGAGCGACTATCATCTCCCTCACAAGACCAAGTTTGGGTCATTTTGGAATCCATTCGGCTGTCGAAGCGTACGAGTATACGGAAAAGTATTAGACAGTCGACACTCTACCTTTGAGGTTTACAATACTTCGGATGACCCTGATGCGGGAAGTCCAAGTATCAAGTTCCTAAACCCCGAATGCACATGCTCACAATGCTTGTCGGCAATAAAAGACGAAAACGAGAGCGAAGACCGCCCCGTTGGCCCGGCTTCATTGCCCTCTAGGATATTTATGGCAATCATCGATATCCTCATATCAGAGGCTGTGCAGTCCGCTTGTCCCATCTTCTGGGAAAGTACTTATTTGATTAGAAGCCCTATCGGTCTAGGCGCCAGGGACTTCGAAAGAATGGCTCACGAAATTCGAAAGAGATCTGCAAGCTTCAGACTTCCCTCACAGATCAACAGAATGGGTCAAAAGATGGTTCGTCAAAGATTATTTCGAGCGGATATATCCCGCTACTTGGGCAGTTGGGATAGAGAGCCCGTCTACGGATGGGCTTTGCCTGAAATCGACGCTTTTTGCATGGAAGACGAATACTTTGAAGCAAATCTGGAGAGCATTCGACTCTTGCAGAAAATGCAAAATATCATGCTTCCCCCCAGTGCGAAACCTGCTAGTAGATACTTCCAGAATCTGCCAAGCCATTTCTGTACTGTTCTGTCGTGGCTACCAAATCTTAGGAAAGTAGTCTGTCGCCCCGAACCATGGAGATATTTGAGTCGCCGTTTACCATCGGCTGTATTACCCAGCCCTCGCCCGAGCGAGCCGGTAGAGATTGACGACAAAATAGATCCCAACCTGCAAGTCTTGACGTCAGAAGTTGATGGCAGAACTATTTGGGAATACCTCAAGAAAAAGAAAGTTCGAATCTATGTCACGGATGGCAGGGGTGGTGCAGAGATCATTCAGACGACCGAAGGCTTCAGGATGAAATACTTGGCTCCAGATGAGACCAGAGATTGTAAATTCTTGTCAGGGTGGGTGATACTGTGATGCCAACAGGATATTGGGAACGATACTAGATGCTTTCGTGTCACTGTGGCTGCGGAGCACGGGGTAAGCTCTTGGGACCACGGCATCATGAATATCGTGGTGGTAAATTTTCGGGCGGCGAGGTTCTACTTTTACAGAATGCCTTACACATATAAAGAGGGCCAAGTCGTTTAGTCTGAACTAATATCGTTCTTGATAACATTTCTTCCTTCTCCTTTCTGCTAAGCATAGATACCAAATGAACAGTCCGAAACCCAACGCCTGCACCTATAGGCGTACCATCTTTTGGTTTTCAGAAGCTTGCTTGAATGGTTGAGAAATGAAGTTCTTTATCTGTCTTTCCCCGACATCAATGTCAGAGCACCAAAATTCTATGACAAGCTTTTCATTCGGAGATCGAAAAAAAGGTTATTCGAGTTCAGTGTCAGTTTGACCCTCAAGGTCCTTCAACTGCCGTCTCCGAAGCCATTGTTTCTACAGATATCATGGCTGCTATTGTCCATGATAAACGCTGAGAAATTCTAGCAGAAACACACCATCATCACGGATATCTCATACAGGATCATCACTGCCGTATCATTTCACGCTCCCTGAGTATTGGTTCGCCCATGATAATGTCGCAGCAAAAGACTTCAAAGGTAGTGGTGGAGGCTCGTTGCCTCCCCCATCTCCCAAACGAGATCATACTAATGATATTCGACAAAATGATCGCAGGTGCCGCCGCCGATTGCCAGCCCATCACGTGGGAAATTTTCCAAAGTCGAGACCCTCACAGACGCCAACGCCCAAGACGCACGTTACAAGACGACGTAACAGCCTACTCAGGACGTGGAGATTCGCCATCCCTCGAAGACACGGGGCCAGTTTCCTCGAAGGAGCGCTTCAACGGTATCCGACTACCATTGCAAGTCTGCTCATGGACCAGGGCCATGGCCCTGAAGACTTTCCATCCTCTTCGCTACCGCAGCAAACGCCGCATAGTGGCGTGTCCCCCACTCTATGAAAAGATCGTCGTTAAATTCAAGGAGGATTGTGTTTGGGCATGCCCAGCAGTTGATATCTTCCAAATCATGAACGTCGACATCGAGACCAAATTTACGCAGCCGTGGCCGTTTGCCCAACCGAGCGGCCAGCAGGTCTCCTCACGCTCTCAGCCTAGCGCGACGGCCAACGGAATCCTCCGGGTCGTCCAAAATGTCAGATTCGACTGGTTCGGTTCAGATGTCCCAAACCCAGAAGAGCTGTCCGGCGCGCTTGAGTGGTTCCTCTCCCCGCCGAGCATCAAGCGAGTCTACATGGACAAGTACATGACGCATCCCAGTTATGGCATGGCCGAGTACTTGAGTTCGGAACGCTTTCGGCTCGGCTCTCGCAAGCATGGACCCGAAGATCTCCACCTCGTCGGGCTACCGGACGAAATCACCTCTCTTCTTCAAAGTCCGACGACGGACAAGGCCCCGTGGAAGGCGCTGCAGAGTAGGAGAATTCCAGTTGTAGTTCGCCATTGGGGTTTTGGTCAGGAGAATGTCCCGCTGGAGCTTTTCCTTGACGAGAAGGATGAGATCTGCTTTCGGCTCTTCTGTCAACAGTCCCTCCATGTTGTGGAGTTGGTCCTGGGGTGGGGGCCATGCAGAGTCAAGCTCGAAGGGAAGGAGGGACTGAGAAAAGACGTCGAGGTTGAAAGTCGAGACGTGGCTTCGGTAAGGGCTATGAGGAAGAGCTTCTAGGCCGGCTTGACGATACCATGAAAGGGCACACGAAGACTCTCTCGAATAGGAGGTCCGAGAGAAACCAGGTTCCACACAAGTGTCAACAGTGAACTTCTAGTCATTCCTAGAATCTAGAAGACCTGTTCGTATTCGTTCACGATGTTAGGAGGATGAGCGTGCGTAACAGATAACGAGACGGTATCTTTATTCAGATTAAGACAAAGAGACGTTTGTCTTTGAAAGTGTATCTCGGGGCAACAGTGACTTTCAGCTATCATCCAGAGACTATTTCATGCTGAGGAAGTCGATGGCATTAATCACCGGTGCCTTGAGGATCGCTTGAACGGCTGCGTGACGTTGGAGGGTATTTATTCAAGGTGCCCTGCAGTCGACTACAACTGCAGTATGGTTGCGATGGCTGTTGGCTACGTATGTACAGGATTGCATGGTTGCTGTGCTCCTCGATAGAATAGGAGACTCCACACTCACCTGACAACTCAGCATATTCAACAAGTAATTATTTTCAAGACTGCTCATAGTTGGACCTCCCTCCCACTATGTGTGAAATAAACAATTGAGAAGCCTAGGTGGCGCTTGACGTGCTTCAGAAACTGACAGATATCATGGTGCTTGCTTGCCATTGTACTACTCGAATCAAAGTAGCAACTACATCTCCTCCCGATAATGGCAAGGATGAAAGGGGAGCACGGGAGCAACCATAGGTTTTGCGGTAATAATCTCGAGCACAGAAGCTTACGGGAGGGGTGGACGACTCGGCCGTCGAAGGACGACCTTCAAGGTGGTTTCGTGGACAACGTTTATTAGCCCGCTTGGGTTGAACCTTATCCCCTTGAGGTTCTCACCCAAAGTAAGCCACAACGAGACCCAGCAAAGCTAGAAGATCGCAGGGTGTCAGTCTGTCAAGGCTCACAAAACGCCTTGGGTCAGGACACTACCTACTATCCGGAATCACGATAGGAAACAATCTGCTCCTTGAGAGATGGCAATTCGTAGCTCCATGACGATACCCCCACGACTGACATCTGAAGAAATAGCCAAAATACTTACTCACCTTTCCCCCCTCCCCCTTCCAAGAAACTCCCCCAAGACCTATTCGCGAACCTCAAACGACGGAACGACATAGTATCAGAGCATGGGCCCCGTAGCGAGAGTCTCAAAAACGCAGCCCTCCCTCCTTCTCAGCATCATTTCCGCCACTCGTCACTCATCAGGACCTACACACGCCATCCCGCGTTGCGATTCGATCCAGCTCGGTGTAGCAGTCCGGCATGCCCATGCATCTCTCACTTTCTGCATCATCGTTTTCGGACGTTGACAATCGCCCTGGGGAAAGGGGGGGGGGGGGTATTGCGTCGACAGAGTCCGTAGGCACCGTCCTCGTCCTCGTCCTCGGGGCCGCGTACGTCTCTGCTTCCGTCACTTGTGTCTAATAGTTCCATCAATGCAATTCCTTTGGAACCTCCTCGCTATTATCGTAGTTGTATCGTCGTTAATCGTGTCGTCGTCGTGCTCCGTCGTCGCCCAATTTGCGTCCAGTACCTCCCACCCCTTTCCCGTCCGTCCCTACGCGACCTCGGGCGTCAATCCTCGTAAACAAGTTCCCATCCAAAAGGAAACGAATCCCATCCTTCCAAACACTCTCACTCCCACCTCGGTCGCAGTTCCAATCCATGGACTCATTCAATCTTTGACTTGTCGTAGTCTCGCACTCACTCCTTCCCCAAAAACGTCGCCCATCGACACCTATTCCGCAGAGCGATTCCTCAACTCGCACGAAAACAAGAACAGTCACACAATTAAAGGCACAGGCACGAGTGCAAGAGAAATCACTAGAGTTATAGATAAAAATTCTGATTCTCTTATGTGGCAAAACCCCCCCATCCTCTCCCGCCGGCCGTCCTACGCTCCGAAACGTCGCGGAGGTGATAGAAACGGGCAATGACGTACGGCCGATCACCGCCGATCACCATTCGCCTCCTCTCACCTGAAAAGTAACCTCAAACAAATGGCATCAATCGAATTCCAACAAAACATTAATGACATTGCAAAAAGAATAGAAATTTGACAATTACCATTACCAGACCGAATCAAATCCCAAAAAATTAATTGAATTGAAAACCAAAACGGGCCGATTCGGATAAATGCAGAAAAAAAGAAAAAGAAAAAAAGCTTTGTAAACTGCCATCCCCATACCGAAAACCACGCAACAAAAAAAAGGTCAACAAAACACCACAGATTTCCCCGCTTCTTGCAAACGGTCGATCTGCAGATCTTGTGCTCTCGTTCGCCGTCAGAACCGTCTTAAAGAAAGACCGCCACAAAGCGATCCGGGAGAATCCCTGCCTTTCACGCTCATCTGTCGTCCATCTCTTGTTCTTTCGCAAAGCTTCTGAAACGTCCCATCGTCCACAGAGTTCTGTCATCCCCAGCCTACCATAGGCTTCGATGTGAACGTGCCGAGGCCGCCCCTCCACAGAACCGTGTCCGCCGATCCCCGCCACTCAACGTGCCTCGTCGCCGCGCCTGTCAGATCAGATCCCCCGGGCAACTCTGTAGAGCTTGCAGAGAGAGGTAGGGTGGCGAAATGGGGGAAGCATAGAGAAAAAAGGCACATCTCAGCCCTAAACTCAATGCCACTCGGCATACTGCAACAGCTACCCGTAAAAGGCATCTTCCCACGGCGATCGTGTTCCCATTGGTGCTCCTGCCACACGATCACCGTAGCATTCCAGGTGACAGAGGCCGCAGATCTGAATGTCGTTCCGCGCGACAGACCTCTCCAACGGTCTCTTGTGGTGATAGCTGCCCTTTTCGCTGCAAGAAGAATTTGCATTCTCCCTGCAGATCGCGGTAACAGGTCAGGGGAAGCTTCATCCTCGTGTGGCGACAGCTCGCTGCCTGGTCACCTGTGGCATCCTGCCCGCTGACTTGTGAAAACGCTTGTCTCCGCTGCCTCAAGGGCTTCTCATCCGCTTGCCACCTGTCCTATAGGGAGCAAGACCGATTGTAGGTGACACTGTGGGCACTGATACGTCCTCCAGGTCCCGAAAGGGAGCGCTTGCACCCACAAGGAGCCAGTTGGCAAGCGAGGATCGCCGTCTCGGCTGTTGTTCTACAAGGGGAATGCCCTCATGCAGCAGGTAACAGGCCAGTGGATGATAAAGAGGATGTAAATCGCGAGATCCTGCAGCCCTAGCCCCTCCTCGCCTCCGGCCCTCTCACTCCTCCTTCACCCTCGCCCCCCACGTTCCGAGCCAAAGGCCAGAAAGGGTGTGGAAGGGGAACACCGCCACGAACTCGCGATCTTCCCTCACAACAGAGCTCTCAGGTGTGGCAAAAGCCTCAAGTTACCGCTTCAGGAAACTGACAGGCCTCATATGTTGTTGCCATTGGCTCACCGTTGACGTTCCAGCGGCAAGACAAGCGTCACTCCGCTACCGAGTAGAGAAACCTAGTCCCTCACTGTGGCTGGAGAGGAGGCGGAGGACGGGGTAGGGAGAAACGAGGAAATAAGAAGGGGATCCTTACCTCTAAGTCGTGTTATCCTGTTGTCCTGGAGAAAGAAGGGAGTCGTAAAGCAAATTTGAAAAAAAGAGACAAGGCATTGTCGGTGCAAGAGCGTGGAGAGGGCACCTCAACATCACCTCCATCAGCAAAGAAAGCCGCGTCGAGCGTTGGTCCTTGGGGCGTCGTTGACTCTTATCCTCTTCAACTTGGCGAGAGTCCCTTGTGGCTGGGTCCAAGGCGTCCCTCTTCTGATGGAACCCCTCCGCCATGCCTCCCGAGTCCCGAGCCCTCGTGGCACCCCTATCCTCGGCGATCCCAAGAGTCTGGAATCATGTAGGGGTCTTGCCACCCAATGAGCGGACCGGATGTTGGCCTGATAGAAAGTGACTTCTTCCTAACGAGACCCCAAAGACACTCACCCCTGGGGCGCCCACTGCGTCCGACAGCTGCAGAAGCCGCACCTACGCACGAACGCCATTTGTTTCCCCCGTCCGTCCCCCTTCAACTGTGGCGAGTGCATCTGACCAGAGCCAGTCAGAAGTCGTACCTCTTCCACACCTGGCGCACACCCCCCGAGGAAGCAGCAGCTCAGCCACTTCAGCCACGCAACTCTCCACGCATAGCGGTTGACCGCTCGAAGTGTGGCTCGCCTTTCAAGCCACATGAAGCAAGTGATCGACATGTTCCGCACAACTTGTGGCGGACGAGGTCGAAGCCGAACAGAGGCCTTAGACCCTCCGCTAAAACCTAATTGTTTTACGCGAAGGGGGCTGAACCCTTGGCCAGCTGAGATGTCATGGTCTTGATGAACCTGACTGGATACTTCCCCTGAAGAATGATGCGACTTTGAGATATAGTTTGCAGTGATCTTCATGCCACGGAGGATCATGGGCGCCCGGATTATCGACCTGTGGCACCAACTGTGGCTAGTAGCCGCGCAATCATGGCGCATCCTGTCTCGTCACAGACGCACAGAGGTCATCTGGAATGCAGCTGCCCTCCTTTTCTCTGCATGAGGTATCTTCGTTTTCAATAGACGCCGCAGAAGCAAGTGTGACAAGGCTGTCTCTCCGAGGTCTCTCACAGCTCGTTGGGTCCAGATTCTTCTGCCTAGTCCTGGAGACGCTCCCTTGGTCGACGATGATCAGCGTGCAACCGCTCCGATTCGGGAAGCCGGTCGAGCCACTCCCTTTGGACAAAAAGTCCCAGTTTCTCTCGTATCTTGAGCCACTCAGAAGCGTCTGGCAGACGATTTGGGAACTGATCTGTGGCGAGTGCTCTCCACCATCTCTAGGCCGTGACTGGCACTCCATCTTCCAATGTACTGGTACTTGGAATGCAGGACCTGTGGCTTCACCTGCTCGCATAGACCTTCATCGTGCACTCGTGCCGCTGCATGATGCAGACCCTTGAAAATCATTGACTTTTAGGCGCAGAGACTTGCATCCGCGTCTTCGCAGCATGGTATGAGACGCGTGGCCGTACAAGTG